AGTAAGACTCTTTGTGTAAAAACTACTGCAGACTATACTAATTAGGGCGTAGTCTCTGCATGTCTAGAGGACCGATCACACAACTGCTCCACCATAGCATAGCAAAATGAAGAGTCTCAGTACTGGCTTCAAGTGTGGCGCTCCGCACAAAGTAATTCGGTTGTTTTGCAGGTTATCTTGTCGGTAATGCTTCCACTCAATTTACCTAGTCTCTGCTAATCTAAGGACGTGATTTGTCTCACAACCTAATGTTTTCACCACACATTAATGACTTCCTCACACGCACATCAAAACAAATCAAGGGAAGATTATGCCAGGTAGTCGCACGGACCCCAACAAATGCAAATGCAAATCAGGTACTCGCAGATGAGAGCCTTCAAATTTGCAAACACAGCGGCTGTTATTCGAGCATTTTATGAGTTTTGGCAATTGCTAAATACTGCTAGACTCTTGCAGAGAAGTAGCAACTCAAACACATTACAACACAAAAGGCGATTTCCTCTTTTTAATCACTGTCAACTTTGGTAGTCGCCACGACCTCCCTTACTGGTAACCGGATTAAACTTGAGTAGGAATACACTCCTGAAGCTGTCGTGTAATGCTTTGACTGCTTGTTTAACTCGGCATTCCATTTGGCACCTGAGGCTCCACCATTGCACTTCCACTCGGTGACATGACCTCCAGATCATGCTTGTAGCCTCTCAGCCCCTCTGAAAGACTGCGGATGCTACAATTACCTTCCCTAAAGACGAAAGGAGGCACAATACTTAGCCATCGTATGTGCATTCAACATACTGTGAGGCTTGTTGCTACTAGCATGGCCCAGAGGCTAGCACATCTGGCGAGGTACAATGACTAAGTCACTAATTGCGCCTTTACCGAAACTGCGAGTTAAGCAATCAGTCGAAGCACTGCACAGCCCATCTCCTCCTTTGAGCATCGTCTTCCGCACTTCCCTAGGTCAGCCACAGCCCTGAAATAATACACTCACGAGGCGAACATGCCAGTTATAAAATTTGCATGCATTTGAGGAGATACATGACCGCAATGTCGCTGAGTCGCCTTAGCAATTCAGCTGGAGCTGCAGCTTCGTCCGGTCTAAAAACCGGGTTCGGGGACTGGACATTGCGCTTGGCATCAGGCGTGTCCACAAATAGATGTAGGAACACTGGCCCAAAAGCAGAATTATGAAGGGGAGGATGGGATTGAACATGGGTCAGCGGGTTAGGTTTTTGCAGCTGTTCCACCTTAACACAAGGTTCCAACTTCAGGGCCACTCAGCCACATATCTACCTGGATTCCATCCAGCTAGTAGAGGGGTGGAGGAGGTATTGCGAGCTCACACTGTCGGTATTTTCACAAAGGTACAAAAGACAACTCCATAACAAAGTACTTCCAAATAGTTCATGACTAGCGTCCCATCCGTCTCTAGTAGCTTTTCAGCAGAACACGCGATTGGGGTTGTTGCCGAAGGCAGACATCATTTTCAGCTCTTCTGTTTGGAGTCGTCACCGAATCCCCCATCCGTAGCAGATGCACTTCTTCCGCCTCGCCGAGGTTTACC